GAAGATTAGTAATAAAAATGGATGCATTTCTTGGTAACAATCATTTAAGCATTTGTCTCTGTTATTGGTACACAGGTTAAGGGAAAGGTACGAAGTTCTTTTATCCTGAACTACGTAAGCGTGTTGGTAGCTGAGTGAAATTTCACGGTTTGCGAGATAATAGCACATCAGACAAAATAACTGACCTGTTGTGACCTTGAGAAATTACAGATTCATTCATTTAGATAACAATAAGCCTTAATAATCTCTACGGAAATTTAATCACGTTTGGATCTTTCTTCTAACTAAATTATAATGAGGAATCAACCAACAAACCGGATTTAATTCTTAGAACCAGCAAAAGAGATGTGTACTTAAAAACAAGCTTGTCATTCAAATAAATGTCGTTCAAATATATACGTACAAATCGTTCAAATGTCACGAAAATATATTCATATCAGTTCGGGGAATCTTAAGCAGGAAGTATATTTAAAAGACGAAATTCCAAGCCGGGCATCTAAAGGCAAATAATTAAAGTGGAATGTCTTTGCTAAAATATAATACTGAACCTGTAGCGGCGTGTTTCCCTCGTCGTCTTTACTCTTGGTATCAGCACCATGCTTTAGCAAGATCGAGACAATATCTTCATCTCCCCGAAGCGCTGCTTCGTGAAGTGGCGTTACACCATGTTCATCTCTTGTAGTAATGTCCGATTGATTCTGACCAGTAAGTAAACCCGACACAAGTTTGAAATTACCCTCCGCACAAGCGAGATGAAGTGGAGTTGTCACTCCATGTTTTCTACATGAACGAGGGGGCGGATTCCCCTGACAAAACTGCGTTAGTCTCATCGGTAAACCGTCCGCTTGATCTCGGTAGTATTCGATTAGAGAATCTAACCCTTCAAAAATCGGACCATCGTCTATGGAATAATTGATCCCTCCGCGACACTGTATTTGAAAATGAAGCGCTTGATTCCCATGCCATAGCGACAAAACAAAGTTGTCCTCGGACCCACCAGCCTTATTTCTAACAAGGAAAAGTCCCTCTTGTCTGCCACGATGAAGTAAGATATCGATCGCTTGATCCCGTGTTATTCGACCGTGATACCACGACGCGTCGTTAAGAGAAGCGGACATTTTCCCGACACATGTAAATTATGTGGACGGGTATTCTGAAGTTGCTCCTTTTCCCGGCTAAACTTCAGAATACCCGGCCACTCATTAACATGTCATTGAATAAGAATAGCATCTATTGTGTTATGCCTCATTCTTCAAGGCCTCCCGACACATGTAAATGATGTGGACGGGTATTCTGCCATTTTCCCCACCGTTCCAACCATTTATGAACGAAGACATTCCGTGAGAGAGAATTTCCGGCATCGAGTATATTGATGATTCATATGGCACGCATATTTGCAAACAGGATCAAAGTTAGCTCTTGACATATGATCCGCATAGAAACGAGGTTTAGATAAAAGTACTTCGTGCGCATTCTTTCTTCTTACAAAGGGTGCCGGGCTCTGATTGATTTGTTACAAACAGATTTTGGGGGAATTCCCCGCTTTCAAAGCCTTCATTAAAATGGGTTAGAATTCTACAAACGCTTCTTCCAGGGGGAAAATAAATATCTTTTGTAAGAACGTTTCTATCAAAAAATCACAGCTCAACCTCAATGCGCCGAATAAATTTTTTGATACATNCAATGTCAACCAATCAAACTGGTAGTTCAAATTTACCTGAAGACTTGCAAATTATTGATGTGACTAAAAAAAGATGATGCCACTGCATTAAATACAACTTGATTGTTTGATGAAGTGACACCCCTTCAAGAGAAAATTAATTTGTCCAAAAGAACTAAATTATTTGTTAATCTTTCCTTTTTAGACATTTCCAGTGGAAGTGTATTATATTTTTGAGACACATCATCTCGTCCATAGGTATGTTGTTATTTGCTGTTAAAACTTGTGCTGACAACTTGGGCAAATCAGTCAACAGCTGAATAAGCCCTGCATAAGTCTTGTGTTTTTATTATTATATGCTAAGGTAGTCCTGAGGTAAATCCAAGCATTCTGGTTGATCCTTACTTGGTCAGTACATTGCCATATAATTGGTGGGCATCGAAACTGTCTTGAGCTGTGTATTTTTGCGCATAAATGCCTGCAAATTCAAAATAAACATGGATAGTCGGTGTGCCATATAATAAACCACTTATTATCTTTGCTTGCCCAAGTTGTACTCAGTCTGGGAAATATTGGCCCTCCATAGTTTTTGTACAGACCTCACTTCCCTTGGTCCATACTGCCAGGACCTCAGGCCTGTATTAACCAGTACTTCCCTCCAATTGGTTGGTTAGGAGTTGATATTTTTATCCAAGATATAAGACTGGTACCTTTCTCTTTATTTCTCCTAGGCCTGGTAAAACAAGGTTTCGAGAGAAGTGGTTGAAAGACATTATTGAAAGCAAGATACAAATGATGGGTGCAGTGGAGTTCTGATCTTTTTTGGG